ACTTTTCATGTTTTATGGTTTCATATTTCAGAAAGGCCTTTTAGAGTGAAGTTCCTTCTCCTTTTGCCTTCAGCAAACCAGAGCTGAAGTTACTATTTAGCAGTTCATTTTCAGGAATCCCTGGTTTGAGGAAGTAATAAGCAATTGCTAACCTTTAGATAAGCGTATATGTTGAAGAAAAGAAATAAATGAGAGAATTGAGCAAGTGTGCAGTTGGGGCTGGCTTCGATTGAACAGCCCTCTGAGAGTGAGAAATAGAAATAAAGGCGGCTGTCTCTGAATTTAGATTTTAAGTCTCTGCAAACTACAGCTGTTTCCTGGTTATATTTTGGCATTATAACTATCATTTCATTTTAATTCTGTGTAGTTTGGAATATCTGAGTTTTCAACATATTGGCTAATTGAAGCTAAAGAAAGGTTACAGTACTTGACGGCTTTAGTCTTGTACTTATGGGATGCCCTGTTCGGCCGCAAGGTGATCAGTAGCGTCCGTGTACAGACACCTTCGTTAAGGTCTGGACTTCACTGGTAACAAAGCAGGTATACCACTGTTTGTTTGATGGAGTTAGTGGTAGTCATAGGTATGGAAATTTTATTACGAAGGGGCACTCTGTCAGAGCAGCCTGATAAGAACTTATTCAAAGCCCTATTAAAAATAACGTGAACACTTTGGCATTGCTGTATTTGAATAGAGAGCTTGCTTGTATGCAGTGCTAATGCACGCAGTGAGTTTTATTATAAAACACCTATTGTCTAGCAGTGCACTGCGTACAGCCTCATCGTGGCCTTTCTCATAAGCCGCAGCTGTTCTAGCATTATTTTGTTCCATAACAAGTAGGGTTTTAGTAAAAGTAGAATATGAAAACAAGGTTTTGTTCTAAGAGGGTTTTTGTGCAAAGAGAATGTGAAAATAGTGTCTAATAACAAACTTTGCATAAAACATGCATTAAAAATATATCCATATACATATCTGTATTGGCTACATTGCTGGAAAGATGGTGTTTTCCCTTCTAATAGTTATTTTTGAGTACATTTTTGATTTTGCAGACCGATGTTTCATTGTGAATTTAAATGTTTACTAGCATATTCTTTTCTTCTAGAAATTTAATTGTAATTTCTATATGGTATCTGTTTTAAAGTGCACTTGAGAATTATATCTGCCATTAGGTGCCTAAGTAAATAAAATATATAAGTATATATTTTGTTAAACCCTTTACTGACAGACCGCTGATGGAAAGGGCAGAAAAGAGCCATTCTTTGTGAGAAGGAAAGCATTAAGACACTCATACAAAGGTCACTTATAGGACTGTAAGCTCTTATGAGACTTTAGCATTTTGCTAACAAGATCAACTAGATACTGATAACTGCATATTTTGTTTAGTTGCCTGAAGGCCGGTTACTCGAAAAAACCTATATAAAGGTGCAGGCAACGTTCTTTAACCTCCTACTTTATCCCAGCGTTTTGGGGTGTTGTATGTTATGTTGCCTTTTTCCAAGTGAAAGAGGAAATAAGGTAAAGGAAGCAATTGCCAGTGTTTAGCTTCGTAGCGTCGTAACTTCTCTCACTGTAGAAAAGCTTGAAGATTCAGTCCGTTGTTGTCACGTGTTCCTGATTCATGAGAGTGTGGTATGGTGAAAGATTTTCTGAGGTATTTTGGCAGTTCTTGCAAATGGTTTATCACCTGCTTTCGTACCAGGCTAGGTAGCTGTGGGTTTATGACACATTAATGTTCTAAAAATAAAGGAAGCCCGAGCCTAGTCCACACGTGAGCGAAAGTCAAAGTTTTTGCAGTAACGTTTGAGGCTCCGGTGCTGTATCTCCAGCCGTTACACGAGCCTGTAGCGCTGCTGGGTTTTCGTTGGCGTGGGCAGAATTGGTTTGGGGTGGGGAGGGAAGAGGTAGCCAGATGAGCTGATTTTTTTCTTCCTTCTGTTGGTGAGTGAGGCGGCAGTTCAGGATCTGTCTGTAGGAGAGCTGTGGCTGAATCCTTCCACCATTACAGGTGTAAAACTACGGGTACTGCTTCCCGGTGTTGGCAGCACGCGTTGAACTCAGCACGGGGCGCAGCCGGGCACTTCTGTGCCTTGGAGCCCAACATAACCTTATGCAGGGAAAAGTGAAGTTGGGGCTTGGCGTGCTTGTACCAGCCCTTTGAACCCCAACAACTCAAAAAGTGATCCTGTATTTCAACAGCGGAAGGACTGAGTCGACTCCCAGATCATGGGGAACATGACGCACAAGCTGTGCTATTCATAAATTGATTTTGGGGGGGGGATTGTAACCTTTTTTTTGTCGGTAATAAGAAGCAATAATAAAATTACAGTTTTAAGGGGATGCTTCATAGAGCTTTTACGTGAACTTAGATCTGAAAAAATACATATTCTTGCACATGAGAAAATAACACATGGAAAAGTTATACACTGAAAGATAAGACCTGAAATATGTAATACAACTAATATAAATTAAGTAATTCAGCCTTTGTTTTCTGATACTAAGTTAACAACATGGTATATAACTCTTGCTGCAAACAATTAATTCTCACAGAAAGTGAAAACTTCCATTATTAAAACTTGCTACTAAAAAAAAAATTATTATGCTATTATTATGCTTTTTAAGCAGTTGGTTTTCTGCACCCTGAGCTTCACAGATCTGTATGCCGTCCTATATATTTTTGATCCTTACTTAAAGGAAAAAAAAGCAGAGGTCATGTTCTGTAGAATGCGCACTGAATAGATGAACCACAAGGTTCTCTTTTAGGAGGAACCTTTGTGCAGCTTTTTAAAGGCTCAAAATGCAGAACTGTAGTATCGAGTTTGTTATATGTCGAATTGTGCTTTAAACACAAGAGATGAGCACAGAAGCACGTATTTTTGGGAGGCCGTGTTATTATTTTTTTTTACAGTAGTGTGTTTTGAAACACCGGTAGTGAGCAACGTTTGTCAGTTTGGTGAGCTTTTTTGCTTTTGGAAGGCCAAACGTTTTAACGTTGCGTGTGCGTGAGGCTGCATGCAATCATTTCCTTCATGGCAAAATGTGTGTCTTGTCTCCTACATCTTCTTATCGAAGGCCCTTAAGTTTTCCTTGTTCTGCCCCAGTTTCTGTAGCATCATCTCCATTTGCCGTGTCAGGTGGGTTATAGAGGAAAGTGTTATGCTGTCCGTGTGCATCTCCACAGAGCCATCAGGTAAACCCTCCCCACGCTTGTAAGTCAGAGCCTCTTTGTTGTCTGTTCTGCCACAGACCAGAACACTAAAACGACTCCTTGGTAAGTACCAAGCTTTTTAGGGAAACACTGGCAAATAGCAGTAAATTAAGCAAATAGCTGTTGTAAAGGAAATAGTACCTATTAGTAGTAACTTGTCTACGGAAGCATCTGAACGCGCCCTCAGGAAGGCGCGCTCAGCCCAGCGACGCGGGGGCTGTGTGCCGAGCGCCGCGACGCCTCTGTTGGGGAGTCCCTGGGGCGCGCAGGCAGGCAGCTGCCTGGCTCTTGGTCCTTCCCCTTTCTCTCTCTCAAGAGTTTTCTTGCTGACTTGACAGCATGCCCCCGCACTGTTATTTCTGCCACCGTGGCCATCCCCCCGATCCAGGCAAGATTTTGTGGCCTGAGCTTTGTTCCTCCCTTACTGTGGCAGAAGGTTTATTCCCTCTTCACCCCGTGCACGGTGCTTTCTCCTCTTGTTCGGGATGTTGCTTGTTTGGAAAGCACTGGGAGGACACACAGGTGGGAGGTGAGGTTTTGTCAGGCTGGAACGCAGTACCAGCTGCCGTCGACTGGCTTTCAAGACTTCAAGACAGTTTTGGTTGGATTGAACTCATTAGTGCGCTGACCAGCAGTGAAGGGCTTTCTGTATTTGTTATATTTGCCTTGTGCGGGTTTGTTCTCACATTTCCTGTGGTTGGTTTTTGGCTCCTGGGAGGGTTCCCTCAGAGGTGAGAGCGTGCCGGGTTTGAAGCTCCCTTCTGAGACGGGAAGGGCCCGGGTGCCGAACCCCCTGGTGGACAAGCTCCTCTCTGCTGCTGCTTCAGTCTTCAAGAAGCTATGGGCAATGGCTTCTAATTGAGAAGATCTCTTTCAACATCTGTGGTTCTGCTTCTCTAGCAATGATGCAGCCATCTTTGTTAATACATTTGTTTTTCTAGGTTAATAGCATCTTTTAATCTAGAAAGAAGAAAACTTTTTTTTTTTTTTTTTTTAAAAATTTGTGGGTTGTTTTTGGGGGGGGAAGGCTCGGAAGCCATCCTGCCGCTCTAGAGGGTATTGCATAATTCCTGCTACTCCGTCGCAGAGTTTGCGTTAGAGTTCGTGATGGCAGCAACGAGGCCAAGGCGAGGTTAGAGGGCGGGTGCAGCGGCTGCAGGTACTGCCACCCACCGCGGGTTTCGTCGGAGCGCAGGCAGCGGGGCTGCAGGTGGCCGCGTCAGCATGCTGCTGGCCGCACAGCTGAGAAGGAGAATACTGTATTTCCAAAACACCGTATGGCCTCACAGAGGAACAGGGTGGGGTTTTTTGCCTTTTCACTAAGTCTGCTGGTTTTCAAAAATTTGCACTCTCTTTTTGGTTAAGCATAATTTCGTTTGCAGCAAAATACTTCAAAAGGGCGAACTTTCTGGCTTCTAGGCCTCATGTTTATAAAGATATGAAGTGTTGTTGTCTTTAAGATAATGTGCACCCCTTTGGAGACATAACAAGTGTTCAGTCAGAGCTTTAAATCGGTGTTTTTGTAACATATTCCATGCATAAAGTACAGTTATTGTTTGGTCTAGTGGGATAGTGCTTAGAATTTGGTTTTGGTTTTTCTTCCTCAAGTTATTGTTATCTTAATAGTATTTTAAAACAACTAAAACAATAAAACATGTCCAGATTCTTTCCTGGATAATGGTGATATAAATTCAATTTAATTGGTTTATATTGACTAAAAATAAAATTGGGTCTTTGTGAGCTGAATATATAAATATTCCACTGAAATGGACTCTTGTTTTTGTTTTTTTTCTCCAGGACTATCTCCTTAGGGAATTCCAGTTGCTTGTTTTCATGACTCTGAGCCTATTTAACCAGCGATGGAGCAGATGGACTGCAAACCCTACCAGCCACTGTCTAAAGTTAAACATGAAGTGGATCTAACTTACACAAGTTCCTCAGATGAAAGTGAAGATGGGAGAAAGCAACGGCAATCTTATGACTCCAGAGAAACTCTGAATGAATATAGCCAAGAGCTGAGACTTAATTATAACAGTCACAGCAGAAAAAGAAAAACTGTTGACCAATCTACTCAAGGTAAATTGTGATTTTGTTTACTAATTGTGATTGTTTTCTGGTTACTTAAAAAGGCAAGCATTTTGCTTTCAAAGATTTATTGCAACAACCCACTTCTTTTATCTACTTCTACCAACCATAATATCCGAAAAGTAGCGAATGTGTATTTTTGGAAATAAAATTGCTTTTCTAGCCATGCAGAGTGACCAGTATTTTGGAGACCACTGCATGATAGCTTTAGATAAATATATCTTTATTAGTGCTCTCCTTATTGGTCTTGACTGGTAAATTTTATTATTACCTTTACATATGTTGTGTGGATTTAGGTACAAAATCAACTTTGAGGTTGTAGGATGTATCTGCATGTGCTTACAAAGCTTATGAATGAATTCAATGCAGCAGTCCTCTTAACAAAATGTATCTAATCCTACAAAATAGCCAAGTTATTTAAAAACTGAAGGATAAATAATATCTTATAAGAAAAGAGTAAACAGTTAAGTTCCTTTTTAGTCTTCTGCGTGATACGGACAAAAGTCTAGGACAAATATTTGCGCGCTTATGGTGTCTGAGCCAAGGTTAGGAAAAGCTACTGTTTGGAGAGAGTTAAAAGCTAAAAACTAGAAGAGGCTTAAAGAAATGGAAGGAAACGAGCAGGATTTACTGCAACATTTCCTGATAGACTGCTTCTCATGGGAGCCCACGTACTGTGTTTAACCCGCTTGTCTATACAAAAGGTGTTAATGTGCTGCCTTTAGCTCTGTCACAATTTATGGCTGTATGGTGGGGTAAGGAGAACGTTTTTAGGAATCAGAGTGCCTGTCGGAAAGCACAAGAGAGTCCTGTCCACTTGGCAAAGGTAAAAACAACAAGACACTATGGGCAGTGGCTCACTGCTCTTCAAAGAAGTGTTTAAATGGATCCATCGTAGTGTGGCCAATATTTCTGAATTAAAAAGTTTGATACTCATCTAAGGTGGGGGGAGGGGGGGACCCAACCAACTAGCCAACCAAAAAACCCTTCTACCCCTCCCGAAGATCTTTTGCATACTAAAACAACTTTCCTTTTGGACAAAAAGGTCAAAACTGTGTTCTTGAGGATGGAAAATTGTCTCCTCTGTGAGGCGTAAATTAATGCAGAAATTAGAATAGCGGTATTTTATCACTAAAGAGCTGTTCAGATCGCTCTACATTGTTGTTACTGCAGTTATTTTGAATCAAGTTACCTTTGTACAACTTGTGTTGTCTGAAAGTAAGGTAGAATTTGTTGGAGAAATTATCCCTACCAGAAACACCAGAGAGAACCTCAATACAGATGTTCTTTCAGTACAGTTACAGAACTGCAATATTGAAAAAAGTTATGAATACAAATTTCTACAAATTATTCTGTACAAGACAAATGTTTGATTCATGAGAAGTACATTATGAGGGTTTGGTTAACTCAGTCTACACTGCAGTGACTGGAGATCATTTCGATGTGCTTGTAGATCTACTTAAACTAACTACCTCATTACTGATAGCTATGGCTGTGAAAGCACAACCTCGGCATTGACTAAGCCTATGAAGAGATCCTTGTTTGCAAAGCTTTACTACAATCAGTACCCAAGCTAGCTTTAGACCGGCTACCGGGGATACGTCTATAATGGCTGCAATCACTGTATTGTAGGCATAAAAATATCAACCTATGTGTTGTATGTTGAATTTATTCCTCCAGAACAGTACCTTTGAAAACAATCTTGCTAATAATTTTGGAGAAATGGGTCAAATTAGTGTGCATTTCTGCAAGAAGTTGTCAGGCATGAATTTCTCCCACTCATTCAGGACTGGCCTATTACATCAGCTCTGTGCAAGTATTTTGCACTGATGTTGTAGGATTGTTTTATTGGAAGTATATATCTCAAGTTTTTTCCAGTCAAATTAATATCTGGAAGATACCATATGAATTTGCAGTTCTTTTATAAGCATTTATGTTTTTCTTCTTGGAAGTAGTATGTTCTTGTACCCCTTCAAACTGCAGTATGAGGCTTGATGTTCATGTTTGTAGAAAAGCACTTAATACCTGTGCTATAGTCCGTTGCTATGAATATTTCCTTACCTTTGGACACTTTCTTTATTTAGTATACCCTGCTTGTTTTGTTGTACCGTTGAGCATAAAGGTGTTTTAAATACATACTCGTTTATTGAATTGTGAGGATGGAGCTGAACTTCGCTCGTCACACTAAAAATCATAGTTTTCTCCTGTGACAAATTCAGGTTGGTATAATTGAGTTAGTAATCACAGTGCTAAGTGTATCTATTTGACTTCCCAGGAATTCATGCCCATGTCTTTCTCGTGGTCTAAATCATGTCGATTTGCTCTGCCACAAATGTAACCTAAATGTTTGGCCTGGCAGGCATCATAGAGATTTGAAATATAAAACTGGTTGAGCTGAAAATTCAAGCAACAGCAAAACAGATTGTAAAGCTGAGTGTAGAATTTCAGCCATCAACCAGAGTTTGCTTTGATTACAGTTCTACTGTGTTGTTTCTGAAAGGGCAGCCAGCTTTAGTGATACGAGTCCTAGGAGTTGTAGAGTTCTTGGTGATTCTGTATATTTGCTTGAACAATACCAGAAAACAAAAGGTTCAGTTTTGGATTGTGAATCGGGCATGAATCTGTAAAACTGTATTTAGAATTTGTGTTTTAAATTCATCCTTTTCCTAAAATTCCTCATCAACATTGCTTCAGTAAAGCTTTTCTCCTGTTTGGCACATCTTACCATTTTAAACAAAACAAAACCCTCTGCAGTGTCCCTTTTCAAAGGGTTTTTTTTTCCTGCAAGGAGAAAGCTATTCCAGGCAATAGCATATGACCATTATGTAAGAAATTTCCACATATTAAATATCGAGCTGTCTTCTCTTTCTGTACAGAAAGGCTAAGGTACAAAGGAAAAAGGACATCCATAGTTGTCACTCCAAGTAGTCACAGTGTTCTTCTCCAGCCACTAGCTAGGAGTGAAATAAGGGTTGATCCTTAAAATGTGCTGAATTATTGGGTTTAAGTTAGAGTGAATTCCAACATCCAGTTTGACCTTCATGCATGAAAGGTGTGAGAATAGCTGAGGAAACACACATTTCAGACATGAGTAAAGTGATAACGATGAGGGACGAGAGAGAAATCAAGTATGAGTTCTAATTGTGAGAGGAAAATCATTTCACAATAAAAAAAAATAAAGAAAAGCTTATAGCAGGAGCAAAATAGTAATATATGTTTTGTACTCATCCAGTTTTGTAAAAAGAATCATCAGTTCAAATGTCTATGGAAACTAATGTGCATAAGGACGTTGTAATCTGCTATTAAACATGGTAGTTTATGTAAACTAAACTGGCCAATCTCATCTGCACTTCAAATAGCTTCAGAGTAAAACGTGATTTTGTTACTCAAAATATTGATACCAAATCACTTCACTTCCAGTGAAGTTTTTTATTACTAGCAGTTCTACTATTTAATTTTGTCTATGAATGCTGAGGATTAATTTCCATGAAAGACCTTAATTGAAATCTGAGATTATGTAAATACATTATGTGGGAGCATTTATGTGTTTGTATATATGGGCAAACCTGTATAAACAAGAACTCTTAAGTTCATATGGCATGAACCCAAAGTAAATATTGTCAGTATTCTCAAATATATACTAAAGTATTTAATACCATTATTAGTATTTTGACAAATGTCTTCTGTGTCAAAGTTTTGGTTGAAAAGCCTTGTGATCTTGCAAATTGTAAACTTCTTGATTTGATAGGTTGAAAACAATATACAGAATACGTTGTCTTTTTCAATATTCTTGTATTACTTACAATTCCTGAAATTCTATCTGAAACCTTCTTCAAGGAGGGTTGGTTTCTTTGTCATTTTTCACAAGTGTTCTAGGTAAGAATCTGAAAGAAAAAAACAGAATTAATCTATTGAGAGACTATTATGTAAGCTATGGTTTCTAGACGTTATTCTAGAGATCTAGTACTGATGTTCCTCAGGGAGTTTCCAGTGTAAGATAGGTTGTATCTTTGGAGTTATGTGCCCCAGCAACTTGCAGTTATTTGACAAAATCTAGATTTAGCACATAAGGCTGCAGACCGAGTTCTAGGCTGAGCTCTTTTACTGACCTAACAAGCCACTGTGAACAGACACAAAAATCTCATGACAAGGTATCATTCACTACTAAAGATGAAATGCCAGTTGTGTAATGTGTAAATCTTAGAATGCAGCGTTTTGTTGTCATTGAACTGTCCAAACTGCTGTCCACCTGAGGGTATGTAACCTGCAATATGGTGGCCTCTCAAGGAGATCTTACAAAGTGAATTCCTGGCAGACCCAGTCTAATTGAGTTCACACATATTGGCAAACATAGTAAATTAGTTCTTGGAAGAATTGGTAAACAGTGTTTTGTAGAATTGGCAGAACTTATCACGTACTTTATTTTTGCTAGGAAGCTAATTGACGGACCTGGCTGGGGGGAAAAAAACTCTCCGAAGGGGTGCTGTACATAGATTTCCCTGCTAGCTTCTTCGTGCTACATCGTTAGCACTCTTGTTTTCTTGCACCGTTTCCTTGGTATTGCACCGCAGTACGTGCGGAAGGAATTGAACTCTACATAGACTGGCAGCACAAAGAAGCTTTATTCCTTCTGGGCGAATTCTAGAAAAGGCTAGTTTGGAGGAGTGAATTCCTGGTAGGAGAAGCATCTGGGATTGAGTCATTGGCATGATAAAGTTTATTGATCGTTAACAGTATGAGCATACGGCAGTAAATTTCTGGTTAGACAAACATGTATTTCCTGGCAAGCTAAATGTATTGAACTGCGTTATGGGCAAGGCAAACGGGAGTTATTCCTAGCAGGAAGATCCAGTAGCAAATATCTTCTGGTAAATGTGTGTAGTATTACTAGTAGTTCTAGGAAACAGTTTCGAATACTTCACAAAAAATGGACTTTTTCTGCTTTTAGTCTGAGAAGCGAAGCGAAATCTCGTTTGTAGGACAAAAGCTGA